CTGCCGAACGACCAGCTTGGTGACCTCGCGAGGGCAGTGAGCCAGCGGCTGTGGCACCTGCTGATCACGTGGCGCGACGGCAAGTCGCTGGGAGTGGTCAAGCTCTCGCGGAAGAACGGCCTCGAGGCGTGGCGCCAGCTCAAGATAGAGTACGAGAGCAGGTCAGGCAACAGGTGGACGGCCATGTTGCGATTCATCCTGAACCCCCAGGACAAGTGGGCGAAGGACCGAGAGTCGGGCATCGATTTCTTCCAGTCGCTCACTACCTGGGAGGCTATCGTGGCAGAGTACGTGGACCAGAGTGGCGAGGCCGTCTCAGACAACGTGCGAGTGAGCGTGCTGCTGGAGCACGCGCCAGAACCAGATCGTGAAGTTCTTCGGCTGGCTCCTGAGGATGCGAAGATCACGTTCAGCGCGGCTCGGAGTCACATCCGAGGTTACTACAATCAAGGACGGACCTTCACACACATTCCAGATACGGGCGGAGTCGCGCCGATGCAGGTGGATGCAGTGCGAGGCGGACCCCCCGCAGGCAAATCTCAGGGCAAGGTCGGCAAGACGGGCAAGACGGACAAGTCAGGAAGGACTGGCAAGAACCCGAAGGGTGGCAAAGACTCGAAGACCAAGTCAAATAATCGTGACGGCAAGCACGGACACGGCAAGGGACAGGCAGAGTACTTCGAGGGCGAGTGCGGCTACTGCGGCAAGTGGGGCCGCAAGCGCGCGGACTGCAGGAAGAAGAAGGCAGACGACGCCAAGAAGGAGACTGGTAACACGCGGGCAGTCCAGGGCGATGCGGCGGCAGCGGGCTCTGGGCAGCAGCAGTCGGACGGCGCGGCGCGTGCTGCATCGGGCTACTATGACGGCGTCCCCGACGGCTGGGTGTTCGCGGTCTCGGCGACGACGGACGGCAAGGTGGCGAAGGTCGGCGGCTCCATCCCGATCGACAGCGGCAGCGACGACCACCTGTGCAGGCACAAGTTCGTCCCAGAGGCCCCAGTCAACAGTGCGGCAGACGCGCCGAGGCTCTTCGACGTGCAGCAGAAGCCGTTGCCGACGGCTGGCCTTCGGGATGTTGAGATGACGATGCAGGAGGGCATCAAGGCGACGGCGGACTTTCTCGTCGCCGACGTGAACGACGACCTGCTGAGCATGGGCAAGCTGCTCAGGCAGGGCTTCAAGTTCAGTCTCAGTCTGGAGGATGGGCTCTACATGACGAAGGGCCATCGCAGCGTGCAGCTGGAGCTCGAGCGGAACAGCCTCAGGCTCCCGATCGTGTCCGCGGGGCCCGCGGCAGCTGCGCACCATTGCCGCGGCGCGGCAGAGCAGCAGGAGGTGGCGACGGCGCCAGTGCTCACAGCGGGGAGCTCGGTCGGCGCGCTGAGGACCAGGCTGAGGGAGTTGTTCATGCCGATCTACGGCACGAAGCTTGAGCTGTGGGAACGGCTCATCGTGGCAGAGGCAGCCCACAGGCGCGCGGAGGCAGAAAAACAGCACAAGCTGGCAGTGAAGGAGCAGCTCGGGATTCAGTACGACCCCGTCGAGGCGAGGCAGCTCCCTGCCCCGAGCGCGGAGGAGGAGAGGCAGCATCGCCTCACGCATCTGCCCGCTGCGCCGTGGTGCGAGGAATGCGTCAGGGGCAAGGCTCCAGACGCCCCTCACTCGCTGGTCAGGCTCGAGGACTCGGAGCAGAAGCACCCGCTCATCAGCTACGACTTCGGCTTCTGCAAGACGGCCGACGAGGAGGGGGACCTGACCAAGGTTGAGGATACCTACGCGACGATGCTCGTGGGGTTCAGCTCGGACACGGGAGTGGTGAAGGTGATTTCATGTCCATCGAAGGCAGCATCACCATACGCGATTGCAGGCATCAAGTCATGTGTGCAGCGGCTCGAGACTGGCAAGTGCGGGCTCAGGACAGACACTGAGCAGGCGACGAAGGCCATCCTAGACGGCGTGGTCAGCGAGCTCACGGGCAGGATCACACCAGAGCTGACCCCGAAGCACAGCAGCCAGTCGAACCCAGCGGAGGCAGCGGTGAAGATAGTCGAGGGCCAGACGCGGGTTCTCAGGCTGGACCTCGAGAAGCGCTACGGCGCCAATGTCACGGCAGCGATGCCGATCTGGGCCTGGATGATGCGACACGCTGGGTGGCTGCACGAGCGGTTCTCACGGCGAGCTGGAGGACAGACCCCACACGAGATAGCGACGGGCACCCCCTACAAGGGCGACGTCTGCAACTTCGGCGAGACGGTGCTGTATCGGATTGCGCGGCCTGCGCATCGAGGTCTCACTGGAGGACGACGTCTACACCGAGGCGAGGCCCAGTGGGGCAGAGGGATCTGGGTCGGCAGATCGGACGAGTCTCAGGAGCACCTGGTGATGACGCCTCGGGGGCTCGACCGCGCGCGGACGGTGCGACGGCTCCCTGAGGGAAAGCAGACGGACAAGGAGCTCCTGCTGGCGGTGACGGGGCTACCCTGGGCTACGAGGACGGCTCCCGAGAGGTCGAAGCGCAGGCGGGCACCACAGCAGGTGGCGACGGAGCTCCCGAAGGCGGATGCACAACTCCAGCCTGATGCTCCGCAGCCACAGCAGCCAGGACCACCTGAGGGCGGAGCGGCGCCTGCTCAGCCCCAGGCACCGCAGCAGGCACCTCCTGCGGCAGCGGCGGCCCCGCCGCAGCCGCAGCCTCCACCGCCAGCGCCGCCGGCGCCGAGTGACGTGGTGATGGGGGCGGCGCCCTCGCAGGCAGCGAGGCGCGAGGTCTCGCCTGCGGCGGAAGTTTCAGAAGGCAAGCGAGCGCGAGTCGCGGCAGTCCACGCGCTGGACGTCGGCAACGTGGACGACTCGCCTGACGCGTTCTGGGAGGAGGTCTCAGACGAGGTTGAGGACCCGACGGACGGCATGTTCGACGTGGACATGCAGGACGAGCTGGACAAGAGGCTCACGCTGGAGCACCTGCAGAGCCTCCTGGACCACGGCGTCGGCGAGGACATCCCCAAGTCGGAGGCGAGAGGGATGAAGCACATAACCACGCGCTGGGAGAAGCAGTGGAGGTGGAAGCCAGCGCTGCGGGAGTGGCAGCGCAAGGTGCGATTCGTCTGCCGCGAGTTCCGCTGGCAGGAGTGGCGGGACGACCTGTTCACGCCAGGATCAGCCCCGATCTCCAACAGGCTGATCGAGTTCGTGGCTCTCAAGCGCGGCTTTGAGGTGATGACGCTGGACGCGACGGACGCCTTCTACCAGGCGCCCGAGTATGAAGACGTGGTGGTGGACCCCCCGCAGGAGTACCTGGACATGCTCAAGGTGGAGGGCAAGGACACGGAGATCTACTGGAAGCTGAAGAAGCAGCTACCTGGCAGGCGCGCGGCAGCGCCAGGCTGGGTGGAGCACATGGCGGGCATCCTCACGGACGAGATGCACATGACGAGGTGCGAGGTGGCCCCGCAGTTCTTCTACAATCCTGAGAGTGAGGTGGTGGTTGAGCTGCACATGGACGACCTACACATGGCTGGATCGAGGGACGCGCTGGAGGGCTTCCGTGACGAGCTGAAGTTGCACGTGACCTTCAGCGGCGGCGAGATCCACGAGTACGGCACCACCTACGAGCACCTGAAGAGGCTGAGGACGAGGTACGAGCAGGGCACTGAGCTGCAGGCCAACCCGAAGTACCTCGACTACGTGGTGGAGACTCTCGGCCTGGGCAGCTCGAACACGGCACCCACACCTGGAGTGCCAGCGCACAAGGCGCTCATGGGGAGCACCCCCGCTCTGTCTCAGCCGCAGGCTGGCGTCTACCGCTCGTGCGTGGGGGCGCTGATGTACTACGTTCAGGACAGAGCGGACTGCCAGTACGAGGTCAGCTTACTGGGCAGAATGCTGTCAGGCCCCACCGTCGGCGCATTCACCGCACTCAAGAGGCTCGTGAGGTACCTGCTCGGCACGAGGGATGCGGTGAACTGGCTACCGAGACCGACGGAGGGCACGAACGTGGAGCTGGTTGGCTGTGGCGACAGCGACTGGGCGGGCGACCTGCAGACGAGGAGGTCACAGTCGAGCGGCAAGATCGAGATCGACGGAGTTCCCATGCACTCGTTCAGCAGGCGCCAGGGCATCGTGGCCACCAGCTCGGGAGTTGCAGAATACTACGCGGCGACGGCGGTCGCCGAGGACATACTCTACTTCAAGTCGCTCCTGGAGTTCATGGGCTTCTCAGCGGCGGCTACTCTGCTGACGGATTCGTCAGCTGCCCGAGGTATCGCCCGACGGGAAGGAGTTGGAAAGGTTCGGAGTCTGGAGGCGCGAGTGCTCTGGCTCCAGCAGGCGATCAAGCGGAAGCTGATGGGCTTCGGGACCGTCGGCACCGACGATAACAAAGCGGACCTGGGCACGACGATCCTCGGACACGGTCGCTTCGTCAAGCTCAGGACGCTCAACGGCATCTGCGCGGACATGGGCCAGGTCGCGGAGAGCGACCAGCAGTCGGAGGAGGTGGACTTCGACGTGGGGGCGGCTGCGCGGGTGCGGCGCTCAAGGAGCGCGGCGGGCTCTCCTGGCGCCAATCGCTCGGCGGCCCTTGCAATGATCACGGCAGCGGCGACGCTCTTGCAGGGATGCGAGGGCCAGACCGCTCACTACGACGGCTACTACTACGACGTGGAGGTTTGCTCCAAGGACGGCATTGTCGCGAGCGACTGGACGAGCTACTTGCTGATAGTGGTCGTCTGGGCGTTGGTCGTGGCCGCCGTCAGCGGCTATGCGGGATTCCGCTACGCCGACTTGCGGGATCCAGAATGGCTCCTGGTCCCGCCCGAGCCCGATACGACGCTGAAGGAGATGCGGCCCACGGACATGGTGGACACTACCATTCCCAGCGTGCCAGCCTCGTCGGTGATGACGCGACCGAGTCAGATGAGGCGGAGTGCGAGCACGCAGTCGCAGACAACGCACAAGTGGAAGTGGGCAGCTCCGCGGTTTCAGCCAGTGCAGGACCACGCGCACGGTGTTTTCCTTGAAGTGTGCGTGGACAACGCCAGAGGACTTTTCTTGGACTGAACCTGATGCGAGGCTCAGGGTATAGGACCTTGAGCGGCTACGCTTCGCGCTGTGAAGATGACAGCGCGAGATTCTCTGGGCCTACTCTCTCATCCACCATGCACGATACCAGTTGCTGTGTAAGATATTTTTCCCTTGGAAGCCGAGCCAATCAAGCAAGCCAGCTAGTGACGTTTGAGTTCGATGCAGGATGGTGCTTCGGTTGTGTAGTTATTTAGCCTGGGGGACGCCCCAGCCTGTCGTCCTGGGGGACGCCCCAGCCAGACAAAGTTTTCGGGAGTCGGTTGAAAGCTCGACTCGGAGTGTGCGCCGAGCTTCCAAGGGGGCGTGTTGGAGATTGTATTTGCTGGGGTCGGAGACCCCCCTCTGCAGGAGATAGCATGGTACGGCATGGAGAGAGCAAGCACCGCAGGTCCTTTGGCTCTGATGTTGAAGGGAAACAGCATCAATATCGCTACAGAAGACGACCGCGCATCGCGGGGCGCGATGAGTGAAGTGAGGTGACTTTGCACACCGGTTTGTAAAGGTTTGGCATCCGGTGTGCCGTGCAGTGTTTTCGTGAAGCACGCCAGCGCTCCTCGTGGAGACAATGCCGCGTGCGGCATGCAGGTCGTCTCCCTCGGTACTGCCGTCAGCTGTTGGTTCCTGTCGCTTTTGCGATTCACGTCGGTGTCTTCTGCGAAAGGACATCGATCGACCGAGGCTAGAGTAGACCAGGGATTGCGTGACATTGTCTTTGGACATGTGTGGTTGGAAGGAAGAATTGGAAGAGAGGAGGAGGAGGAGGAGGAGGAGGAGCAGAGTGACGAGGAGGGGAAGGACGAGGAGGAGAAAGAGAAGGCGGAGGAGGAGGAGGAGGAAGAGAAGGAGGAGGAGGAGCAGGAGGAGGAGGAGGAGGAGAACCTCTCCTCCCGCGCTGGCGCAAGGTAGTCGCCACGGCCAGACGAGAGATGGAAGCCCCAGAGCAGTTGCCGCGAGCGCTACTGTACTCTCACGTGCTCGTCGCGATCATCTACTTCTGTGCAGGCGGCAGAAGGGGGAAGTCAGAAAAATCGGGGGTCGGGGGAAAGATCAGTCGAATCAGAAAAAATGACAAAAACATGGACTTGGAACTTCGCTCGGATTTCTTGGATCGGCGCTGGGCACCCCTGGCGGCGCCTCCAGCGCCGCCCCTGGCGCGCGGAGCGCGCCAGGGAGGGGGGTCCAGCGCGGATCCAAGATATCCGCGCGGTCATCCAATAGACTATGATTATGCCGTTTTTCATCCCCCCTACTTCATGGCGAGCATCGCTCTTCATGTAGCCCTTCCCCGGGACTGGTTTTTCATACTGGGCCCGTCGGTTTTGTCACGTTTGCGGGGCCCTGTGCGGGCCCCCAGATTCCGAAAGTGGCCGAGAATTTCGCGTCGTGCTTTTTCTCGGCGGCGCGCTTGGGAGGCCTTCTCAGAATGCGGCGGGGCTTCTCAGAAGCCCTCTTGCCTACCGAGATCTTCGGGGAAGGCCCAGACAGTTTCTCAGAAGGCGGAGGCCTTCCGAGCCTTCTGAAAAAGCCCGTCCTTACGGGAACAAGCAATGAAAGAAACAAGTGTTCAGAGGTTCGCCCAGATTTTTCAGATCGGCGCTGGCCCCCCCTGGCGGCGCCTCCAGCGCCGCCCCTGGCGCTCTCCGCGCGCCAGGGAGGGGGGTCCAGCGCGGATCCAGGACATCCGCGCGGGCCTCCAACAGTTGATGTTTGCGATTTTTCCAATGATTCCATCATCCCGGGCCCGTCGTGTTTTGTCACGCTCTCGGGCCCGGTAAGGGCCCGCAGGAGCCCAGAGCGGCCGAGAGGTTCGCGTCGTGATTTCTTCGCCGCGTGGGGGCGTCACTCTGCCGTCCTCTGCTCGCCTCTTGAAGGCGTTGCTGGCTACAGCGGCTTCGGCGCCGACGTCCAGGGAAACGTCAGCATGTCCATGTGCAACCTTCCGGTGGGCCGTGGGGCAACGAGTGGGCACCGAGGGTCGAGGATCGATCGAGGCTCGAAGATCGATCGAGGGTCTTGGTGAGCCAGGGGACTGTTTTTTTTCATTCCCTGGCGATACAGTGGGGGCCCATGCCAAGAAACACCCTGCTTGCCTCCAGGGTGCCCTGGGTTTCTTGGGTTTCTATGGTCTTGCTGTGCAAGGGGTGACGTCCCTACGCCAAAAATCACGGGACGTCCTGGGGTCTCAGGGTTGGGTTTCTTGTGGGTTCCTTGTGGTCGGGCCTCCGCTGTAGTGGCCATTACGGGGGGGAAGGGGGGGGGGCGAGGTGGCCGGTAACGTCACGATTCGCGCTGGCGCCGTCTGGGAGTTTGCTACGCCTAGCAATTCCCAAAGGCGCCAGCGCGAGCCGTGACGGCCGTTGTCGCGAGTCGTGAAAGAGCGCGCTCCAGGAGGCGCGAAGATCGATCCAGGGGTCCGGGCGCCTTGGGAGCCAGGAGGGCTTCTGTTGACGCTGCCGTGGCCACCCTGTGCTGCTTACCCAGACTCCTCGAGCTTCTATGTATGCCACGCCTTCCCCACACCAGAGTCAGATTCCACCCCACGGGGCCACGTTCAGTATACAAGGACCACGCCCCAGGTTGTGTTGCTCCCATCGTACTTAGGGGCCACATCCCAGAAATAATTTCGAGCGCCCGGAAGAGTGTCGAAAGAGCGTCGAAACAATGTTGGACGAGAGCCTCCCAGGGCCCGACACGTGAAAACCCTCGAGTTTCGGTATTTTTTGGTGCTCGCAATTCTTTCTGGTGATCAAGGCTAAAGTGGGTTGGAACATCATAAGCCTCAGGGGAGGGTATTTTGTGCACCAAGCCCACGACCAGGACCCTCGCCCACCCCTTCCTGGGCTTTCTGTCGCAGTATACACGGTTTTTTCGGGCGGACTTATTTTCGGCGCTCGGGAGCCCTCGCTGAGCCCCAGGACACGATCCTTGAGTGGAACGCCTGTCGGATGGGTTGAGACTTCCAGGGGTCGACGTTGTGGCAAAAATCATGACGTCAGGAGTCTGGGGCCCTGCGGAGTGAGCACCGAGGGCCTGGAGGAACAAGGAGGCGCATGGAGGACGGCTCCTGCTGGTGCTGCCGTTGCCTCCAGTGCTGCTGTCGCCGCAGCCGCTACGAGAGCACACATCCTGACCTCGTCGGAGACGAGGAGTAGGTAGAGGAGGACGAGGAGGCAGAGGCGAGATAGCTGCAAGTATATTTGGAAGTGTTTCTGCGTTAGAGTCCGAGGCGATCGTTGTAGAGAGCGGGGCGAGGTGGGTGGCTCAAGCGTTAGGTGCAGCCGTAAGGGATCGGGCTTATGCGGCGGGAAAGAAGAGAGAGAGAGAGAGAGAGAGAAAAATACAAAGAGAGACCGAGAGAGAGACAACAACAAATGAGAAAGAGAGAGAGAGAGAGAGAAAAAAAAAAAAAAAAAAAAATAAAGAGAGAAAGAGAGAGATATAACCAGAAATAAAAGAGAGAAAGAGAGAAATAAAGAGAGAATGAGAAAGAGAGAAAGAGAGAGAGAGAGAGAAAGTATCGTTTAAGAGGTCCCAATCCCCACCGGGCCAGTCTTTTTCAGCCCCAGCATCCCACCACCCCAGGTCGGGGATAGGCCCTGGGAAACCCGAAGGGGACAGCCCATATCCCCATCCAGGGGGGTTCGCTCGGCCGGTGGGGCCCAGGCCACGCCAGCGGGGATGGGGACTGGTGGAACGGTGCTCAGACGGAGAGGGAGAGAGAGAGATCCGAGAGGCACTGGAGTCTCGCAGCGCCCTCACGGCAGAGCGCTCCCTGAAGCGATGCCCGTGGCGCCGCCGCCGAAGGGGGGGCGCCTGGGCCCGGGAGTTTGGGGGCTGCTGTTCGGCTCGCTGGGGTTCGCCGCACCGCCGACGCATCGCCGGTGCATGTACGGGGCCTCTCCAGGCCAGGCTCGCCAGGCGCACGCAAATCTTTGACTTCGGATGCGCCGTTTTATGCCGATTTTCAGATTTTTCGGAAATGCACCCCGAACGAAGCGAAACAGTAGGGCGGAAGCCTCCACCTCCGACACGTAGGGCGGATCTTCTGCAAAGGTATGGTGGAAACCGCGATGGCAAAGTATGGCGGACATGGGAAGCAAAGGAGTTAGAAAAGTAGGGCGGAAATTTCTGCCCTGCTTGCGAAATCGCCCACAGTGCGGCGGATTCGACTCGCTGTCAGTATCACCGCGGACGTCGCCCGTCTGGCATGCCCAACAGAGGCCACTGTCGGTGTGGGGCGCCGTTTGCTGTTGGAGATCGTCTGGATGTTTGCCGTTCTCGTGTCGGGCGCCCAATATTCGGCGGCAAGCCCGGGCGGGACGTGAGAAGGGGCGGGCCTTCTCAGAAGGCTCGGAAGTCCCCCAGCCCTCTGAGAAGTTGTCTAAACCTTCTCCGAAGAGACGTAACATTTTCCAGAAGGCGTGAGGTATTCCAAGAAGTCCCGCCGCCTTCCGAGAAGGTTCTCTCCTTCTCAGTTCCCCCCCTCGCTTGCCGCCGAAAGATGGAGGAGCGCGTCCGAGGTCGAGGATCGAGGTTTGCGGACGTACTCGGCTTGCTTCTAATAAAACATACAATGGATTCGAAGACCATCCGCGCGGACCTTCGAACATTCATGCTTATGATGCTGTTTCTACTTGTATCCCGCCCTCGCAGCCAGCTCCATTCCACGGCGGCGGCGGCAATGGCAGTCGAAGTGTCGAAGCCCTCGAGGTCCTCCATCGGCGGCGACAAATGGCGGCGAGCCTCGACGTCCTCGGCCCTCGAAGTCCTCGATCGTCGAGACCCTCGACCCTCGAGATCCTCGACCCTCGAGACCCTCACGACACCAGCGACGGCGGCGGCGGCCGCACGGGCCGGGCGGCATTGGCTTGGCGCAGGGGTGCCCCGGCGTCGTCAAGGACCCAGGCGAGAAGTGGTGGCGGGGCTCTTGGCAGCCCACGGCTCTCAATCTGGACATTGTGACTGACCAAACTCGGCGATTACAAAGGGCATGGTTACGCCAGGGTGTGGTTTGCGATCGACACCGTTGGGGCCTGGGGGGCACGACGCTGTCCTCGTCGGGCCGCCATGGAGGCGCGGCGGGGAACTCTATCGAGGTCCTCGCCCGCCCCCCAGGGTGCCTCCCAGGGTGCCCCCCCAGAGTGCAAGTTATGAACCACGCCCTTTGCAAACCACACCCTTCGCAGTCGCCGAACAGCTCTCAATCTGGGCACTGTGACTAATGAAACACTGCGAGGCAGTTCTTGACGCTCTGCGTATCCCCACAAGGCTTCGGACGGCGTTCGGCATTTCCGCTACGCTCGCGATCAAAAAGTATCCCCACAAGCCCATCCAAAAGCAATCACCAGGCGAGCTGCCCTGATCAGAGATGTGTAGCAGCATGCAGACGCCCAGAGCCTACTGGAGGCATCTTGGGGCCAATTTGGAGGCCTCGGGGGCTCTCGTGGCACCCTCTTGGGCCTTCTTGGGGCCGCCTTAGAGGCCTCAGGGGCCCCGATGGGGCCAACTTGGAGGCTATCGATTAACACGGGGGGCGGCGCTTATCAGCGCCACCCCCCCCCTCGGAGGCCGAACAGTCGTCTCTTGGGGCCCCTTTGGGCCGCTTTTGGGGCGCTCTCGGGGCCATGTTGCCCCTCCAGGGCGCGGCCCGTCTTGTATCATCTTGGAGCCGTCTTGGGGCCAAGGAACATTGAACACAACACTGGTTTTGAACGATTTGGGCTGCCTGGGAGGCGACCCTGTCGCTGCCAGCGATGCTGTGGCCCCCTTTCGGAAGGGGGCAGATGAGCGAAGATGGGGTAATGATCATCATGTGAGGATGTAGATAACGAGAGTTCCGGATCTTCGAGGAAGGGCTTCTGACACTGTGAAGCATCGTGAAGCTCCGAATTGACTGTCGGACGATGACCATGATGGAAGTTAGGAGGCGAAACGATCCTGGGGGATTACATGATCCCGACGAAGGATCCCTGGGTTCTAGGATCCCTTCCGCCCAATCTATCTGGAGTCGGGATCTCTGTGCCGATCTTGTTCGCTGCAGAGATGATGCAAAACTGAAACAGCACGCGTACTCTTCAGTCAAAACGCGCGAATACTTCACGCGTCGGTCGCATTCCCATTGGGAAATGCACTGGTGGCACTGCCGCAGGCGACGGGGAGTTGATGACCGACGACGTGGGGCTGGCAAGGGACTCGCGCGAGCCAGCGTCCCCGATCTGAAGCGTTTTGAGAGGCTGCGCAAATGTTTTACTGGAGTTTTAATGGAGGATCGGTAACCAGTTGTGGCGTCGATGAACCCACAGGAGATGCTGACGAGTGTGGATGAATTCCTGGTCCCTGGCAGAAGCAGGGAATCCGGGGGGTCATTGGAACATGGACCCATGGAGACGACGAAAAAATGCGAAAAACAGGAGTGTCCGACTGAGTCTCCACATCAATTGCGCTGAGCAGCAGCCAGTAAGCAACGAGACAAGGGTATCAATGAACAGGCGTTGCAAGGACCTTCGGCCCGCCTCCCATCTAAGGCGTGGTACGAGGAGAAAGTCGGTTCCGCCAGTGGCAACAAGTGGGCCGCAGAAAATTCCACAGGGGCCACGAGCCCAAAGCTCACCAACGACTGCATCCGCCCCTCCACCGCCATCCTCCATCCTCGCTTCGCTCCAGGCAACCCCAATCCAAAGCTCCTGTTCGGCACAAACTCCTCTTTTCGACAGCATCAGTGCTGCCGGCATCGACTCCAGTACTATAACGATGTGCCGTGGGCAGGGGTCGAAGTTCCTCATTCAATGAAGGGGTGGGTGGGTGCCCGTCGGCGCAGGATTGGGGTGGGACCCGCCATCGAAGGGGCGAAGCTATTAGACAGGGCCGACATGGCCAAGGCATCCGTGGATAGACGTGACTTTGGAGCGCGGGTCACTGTGTACATCCCGTTCGTAGATGACGAAGCTCTTCAGAAGTTCAATGGTAGGTTGAAGTGCTCACCGCGAATCTTGCGCGGTGCCAGCACCAGGCATTCCATGATAATCCTCGAGTATTGTTGTTTCTTCGGCTCGAAACGTACCAGGAGACCCCCTGACTATACAACGGCCAAGCAAGGTTGCGAAGGTTTCTATGCCCATATGTGGGCGGACAGGACCTCGGCCAAACACGAGACACATTCAGAATGCATCGATTTATTTGCAGGCGGATACTGTTACGATGCAGCGATCAGCATTGCCTCGAAGGAGTACGCTTTCCAAGAGGGCATCACTGCTGGCAGAAGACAATAAGACCAGAGTTCCTGGACATGCTGATTGAGATAGGCGTTGATCGAATGTGCCAGGTCAGTCAGCAAGACCCGACATTTGGGCGAAAAGGGGTTTCGAACACGATGCTTCGCGTCACTGGCCAGCCAGCCCGATACAGGGAGAAATTGCGACCCAATCGGCAAAGTTGCAACGTAAGGTTACATCAATTTTGCACGTTGAGGGGGGCGATGCTGACGGGTCGTCTTCCGTTAGCCAGGGAGCGGATGGGCATTGCAGCGCGCGCCAGGGAGTCCACATATCAGCCCCGCCTCGCACGGCCCACATGGGGCTGGCGCGGCGGTGGGCGCGAGAGCGGACCCGCCCGGAACGCCGCCAGCGGCCCCGACTGAACCTGGCATTGCTGGGGCTGGAGACCCAGGCGCTCTGGCGGATGGTGTTGGTATCACTCTGTGCTCCTGACTGGATAGGGGGATCGCGCGAGCGTGTGTCGGCCGCTCTCTGAGCCCGTCACACTGATGAGGGCCTGAGATGAACCTGGGAAGGCTCGCGCGAAGAACCAGACTTCTAAGCGAGGCGCCGTTGATCGCAAAGCAGACTCGAAACCGCGCTCGTGATCCAGGGACATCCGAAGGCGACCGGCAGCAATTGGGGCACAATGGCGACAGGTTGAAGGACGCGCCTGGGGTAGAGGGGGCGCGCGGCGCTGAGGTCGGAAAAAGATGCGACTCAACGAGAATGTTGGGCAACGCCCGCGCGAGCAGATTGCGTCGCTTGAACGCGAAATACCCGTCGTAAGAGATGCGTGGGGCGAGGCAATTCGCCGCGTCACTCTGGGGGAGAATCGGGCGACTGCGGGGCGTCGCGAGACTTGGGGGACGTCGAAGTCGCCCATGATTTGGTACAGAAGGCGAAAGCGCCCAACGAAGATTCGGCCCGAATGTTCGAAGATGTCGACAGGGCCCGCGCCGCGGGGCCCCCGCGAGATCCAGGCGCCCCCAAACAAGGCGTGAAGGGGGCTGCGCCCGCGCCCGCAGGGGTTGCGCCCGCGCCCGCAGAGGAGGCTGACCCCTCCGCTGCGCGGAGCGGTGCAGGCGCAGAAGTTGATAAGAAGAGATGGCGACGTGCGAAAGCGAGAAGAATCGCAGTGCCACGTCAGCAACGATGAAACACATCATTGTCGATGCTCAGTTGCGCCCGCAACTGAGCGAGCTCGGGGCATTCTGCGAGCGAGCGGGTTTGTCATCTCGAGCGGAGCCGTGCAGACGGGAAATTTCGAGATGTCGCGGTCATTTTTCTGGAATCGATCGCGCGCGACCCGCTCGCCGCAGGCGCCCGCGGCATCGGGGGCGCAGATCCGAGCGAGCGGGGGGATTCATTCTGCTGCGTATTTTAACGCGCCGGATAATTGAGTCGCTCGCGCTTGAACCTCAGCGCGGAGGCCCGCGCGTTCCCCGCGCCTGGTCGCAGGGGAATGCAGGCGCTGCGCGCGTTCGCCGACGACGGCGCGTCGCTTGCTTGAATGGCCCGGCCAAGAGGCGATCGGGCATCGACTCGCGGAACTGACCCCGCGGAGGCGCGGGGGAGTTGACGATGACGCGGCAAACCCGCTTTCGATCGATGAGCAATGTCATCGGCCCAGATCAAGACGCCCCCGCGTTCGCGACAGGACCCAGCGCCAGGCCCAGCGAACCGGGGGGAGAGGCGGGGGGTGGCCGACCGCGCGAGGATGATATTGCAGTGGAGACCCATGCCAAGAAACGCCCTGCTCGCCCTGGGTTTCTTGGGTTCCGATCGTTTCGCCACTCTTAGGCTTCGATCGTTTCGCCGTAGAATGCGCGGCGCTCCCGCGCCCAAACTCAACGGGCGCCCCCGTGTCTCAGGGGTGCGTTTCTCGCGGAAGGTTTCTTCTGGACGGGCCTCCACTGCAGGGCCCGAGCTCTTAGCGGGCGACAGAACTGACGAAAGAGTCCGAGATGTCAACTCCAGGAAGCGCTTCGACCCGAAGTCGACGGGACAGACGGCCGCGACTCTTGCATCGGCGTTTGGGGCAGCCCTACCAGAGCTTCAGATGACAATGGGGCCTTTCGGGCGTGTCTTTGTCTGACCCGCGGAACCGATGCGCCGCGCATGGTGCGCGGCGCTTCCGAGTGCCTCAGGCAAGCGCGCCTGCTTTTGTTTGTTGCTGTTTACTGCAGCGTGCTAGGGTTATTATGAATGCGATCGGGGGTCGGTTCCCGACCGGGCCGCGTCGATGTGTCTCGACGCAGAAGCACGTGGGCAGAGGGAAGAGAACAACCAGGAGCTTGCAGCCGCCAGGAAGGTCGAGGTCCATGGAGTCGAGACTCCGATTTGGGTCCTGACACACTGCTCGCCCACACAAACACATCGGGGGGCTGGGTGCCGGCTTCCGACGCCGAGCCTCGAATGAGAACCGATGGTATGCGTCATCCCAAGCCGTCTATGTTGCTGGCGTTCATTCGAAAATTCATCAGGCACCTGGTGAATCATGACGAACCTTTGCGTTGCGAGGCGTCAGAGCGATGGCTCTGCAAACGACGATGGGGTTCGAAGCCATAGGAGTGGGTGGGCATCGTGGACAATGAACGCGAGATGACAGTTTTGATCCCGCGAATATTGGACGCGCCACCGATCGCAACGATGAGACGAGGAT